AAGCACTTCACCACTGAAGCATCCCTTCCCCCCAAATTTCTTTAGTGTTGTTTTTTTTTTAAAGGAAATCTTGCTTCCTTAAAAATCTGTCAAGAGCAGTAAACAAAAGAACATTTTATTACTGTAATGTTAGTGTTGCTGTGCTAAGTTATAATTTGGGCTCTGAGGATAAAAGTTCCCTGGAAATTGATTATAGTACACTGTTTCCAAGTAGATGTACAGAACAGCAGTGCCAAAGCTGCTTGCTTCTAGTAATTCCCCAGTCATGTGCATATTCCAGATGCTAATTGTGTGTTTCTGGGTCCAGGCTTCTTCCACAGACTACAGAACTGTGATCTTTTCATTAGGGTGAAACATTTGGAAACTAGAACTGTTTTCAACTTAGAAGAAGAGAAAAGCAATTGAGTAATACAACTATTATAGCAGCAGTTCTGTAAATGATACTGAACACAGAGCAACACAAACTGCCAGTTAAGCAAGCTCCTGCCACTGCCTGGCCCTCTGCAAATGTTTCCTGTTTCTGAACAGACTGCAAGTATCCCAGATATCTCCCTCTCTAGAAGGCCCAAGCCAAAGGTTAGCTCCTACAAAATCCACTCCAGGAAGTGGAGGTTTGTGGCTCAAGGGGTAACACACTAGCCTTGAGCAGAAGTGAGACGGTGAGGCCCTGAATTCAAGTTCCAGTACTGGTGTGAACAAAAACAAAAACAAGCAAAACATACTCAAAGAGCTGGTTTCTGAATGTATACAGAGCCAAATATTTATTCCTGCATTTGGCTCAGACCTAACTCATCCATTTATTTCCAAAATTTGTTCATTTAATAAGTATTTCTTAGGCTCTTACCAAGTTAGGCCCCCAGGATATAGAGGAAATGAAGGTATAAGGGGCATATAATAAATAAGACAAGACATTCTTAAACTTTAGAGATGGAAGCAAACAGGATATAACATGGCAAGCACAAAGCTAAAAGCAACAAATGGAATCTACTAAGATCTCCAAAAAGCAGTGAAAGAGCAGGCAAGATGGCACAAGCTAGCAAGCCCAGAACTTGGGAGGCAGAGGCAAGAGAATCTGAAGTTGGAGGCTAGCCTGTAGTGAGACTCTGTTTGAAAAGGTAATAAACAGGGCAGTGTATGTCATACAATATGGTCATGGCTAATCCAGGACTTTAGCAATGAGCTAAAGCTAGGTGAAGAAGGAAAGGCATATAGCAGAGCATGCTTTGCTTGTAGGGGAGCAAATGGTTTGGTAAAGTTGGCCTACTGGGTAGTGGTGTAGATAGATGACTGAACGAACTGAATTGGATACATGAGCAGAACCTGCTGATAGCAATCTTTGTATATTTTCTTTCTTTCTTGCTTGCTTGCTTTTAAAAAATAGTACTAGGGTTTGAGCTCAAGGTCTTATACTTGCTAGGTGGGTATTCTATACTTAAGCAATGTCTTCCAACCCCTGAGGGAGTTTAAGGAAATAATTCAATGGCTTTAAGCAAGCGTGTGACAAAAATATGCACATCTTGAAATCACTGGCAAAAGCATGAACAGGGTGAAGGGTTGAAGGCTGAACATGACAGATGCTGAGCTAGCACAAATGTCAGAGCTCTATTACTAAGCAGAAGTTGGTGCTGGATATATGGAATTTGAGCCACCTGGGGATGCCCACTCCACATACCTGATTTTTTTTTGTCGGTCGTGGGGCTTGAACTCTGGGCCTGGGCGCTGTCCCTCAGCTCTTCAGCTCAAGGCTAGCGCTCTACCACTTGAGCTACAGCGCCACTTCCGGTTTTCTGGTGGTTTACTGGAGATAGGAGTCTCACGGTCTTTCCTGCCCGGGCTGGCTTTGAACCGTGATCCTCAGATCTCAGCCTCCTGAGTAGCTAGGATTACAGGAATGAGCCACTGTGGCCCAGACATTCCTTAATTTTGACCACCTCCCTGGCCTTATGTTGGGACATAAAAGACCTGATCATGAAGAACATGGAGTCTGCCTGGGGAGGAAGACAGATGGAGTTCAATATCACATGTGACACAAAGCAGACCTTTCCAAAAGACATTCATACCATGTTATATCCCTGGAGCTCAAGAGGGAGATCCCGAGTTAACACAGTGATAGTGTTTATCTATTTAACTATCATGTGATAGTTAAAATCTAAGGGCACTGGAAACACTGCCCAAGAAACTAAACCCTGTGCTCCTTTATAAGGAAGATGGAAGAAGATGAAGAAGCCTCTAAAAAGCCAGCAAAGGAATGGTCAGCGGTGGGAGGCCAAGGAAGAGAAACCTCTAAGAAAGATAAAATAAAGCTAGAGGTGGTAGCATACATCTATAGTCTCAGCTACTTGGGAAGTTGAAGGAGAAAGTCAGAAGTTGAGGCCAGCCCTGGCAGTTAGTGGGAGATCATACCCGAAAAAACTAAAAACAACAGGTCTGGGGGTGTGGCCGAAGCAGTAGAACATTTTGCCTAGTAAGTGTAAAGTCCTGGGTTCATTTCCCATTACTATTCCCCAACAACAAAAAAAATAAGTAGCCAGGTCAGCTGATGGGGGAAAAGTAATGCTTCCAGGATTTCATGATCATGTAACTGAAGAAGATAGAAAAGGCAGACTACAACTGCATTTCACAATGAATGGATAGCATATTTCTTTCTTTCTTTTTTTTTGGGGGGGGGGTCCAGTCATGGGGCCTGAACTCTGGGCCTGGATGCTGTCCCTCAGCTCTTCAGCTCAAGGCTAGCACTCTACCACTTGAGCCACAGCACCACTTCCAGCTTTTTCTTTTTCTGCTTATGTGGTACTGAGGAATCGAACCCAGGACCTCATGCATGCAAGGCAAGCACTCTACCACTGAGCCACCTTCCCAGCCCCTGAATAGCATATTTCTGTAAATGAATCCTTTCTATAAACTATACACACATACACAATGTATATTCCATATATACTTCCAGTGATGATGTCCACAAATGCACACTCAGACATCTTCTATCTATCTATCTATCTATCTATCTATCTATCTATCTATCTATCTATCTATCTATCTATCTATCTATCTATCTATCTATCTATCTATCTATCTGCCCTGTCAAGACAACGAGCAGCCTGCAGGTGTCTACAGGAGGCCATTAAGTAGACAGAGAAGGCTCTAGGGCTAACAGGGTTTTGTTTTGTACTTTTTTTCTCAATAGAAGAAAGACATGCTGAAGGGAAGAAGCTAGTGATAAATAAGTTTAAATAAGGAAATGTCATGGTCCCCCTTACCTAGAAGAAAGCATGTTGCTGTGTATTTGAACACTGGTCCCTAGTGTCACCTCTTTCCACTCTTTCAACAGAGCATCCTGCTCACATAACATGGGAAGGAAGCTTCCAAGTCCTTCTCCTCCACTCAGCTCAGCATCTTGTTCACACTATTTTGAACAACTAGAGCAGACTCTGATTAGGCATCTGCAAGTGTGCTGTGCAACCAGCAGCAGCAGCCTGACTGGGGAAGTGGAAGGGAGAACTTGTTTGTAATACACAATTTCAGATACCAAGCTGGGTCTAATGAGTCAAAAATTGGCTGCACTTAATTGTTTCCAAGCCTTTCCATTTCCTAACAAATAGGGCAATGTCATGCTTTCTGATGGAGATATAGAATTCCATTGTGTATATATACCACATTTTCTTGATCCATTCATCTACTGAGGGGCATCTGGGTTGGTTCCATATCTTAGCTATGGTAAATAATGCTGCAATAAACATAGTTGTGCTGGTAGCTTTAGCATGGTCTTGTTTGTGATCATTTGGGTAAATGCCCAAAAGTGGGATTGCTGGGTCATAGGGGAGCTCTATGTAAAGTGAAGTAAGCCAGGCCCAAAGAACCATAGGTCCCATGGTTTCCCTTATTTGCAATAACTAGTATATGCCTGAGTCAAGCAGAAAAGGTCAGATAAATTGATGTTAGGGGAATGAACCCCAAGATAAGCATTCAAATGTTTTGTTTTTCCTTTCATGCAATTGTTTCTAACATATTTATAAGATGATTTCTATGTTGCTTTGTATGTCCCTCCCCCATGGTATAACCCCTGCTTTCACTGTATTTGATGTTGGTATAATTTGTGGAGGGGAAGGGCAAAAACAAATGGTTTAACTAGGGATACAGGTGGACCCATTGCAACAATGAGATGTATAAGTAGTTATGTCGAAAACCAAACTTTACAAGTTTGGGGGGAGGGATCGGGTTGGGGGAGGTGGGGGGAGTATGGGAAGGGGAAACAAAGAGGAGGCAACAATGCTTGATAAGAAATGTACTCTCAGGCTGGGAAGGTCGCTCAGTGGTAGAGCGCTTGCCTTGTGTGCATGAGGCCCTGGGTTCGATTCCTCAGCACCACATAAGCAAAAAGAAAAAAGCCGGAAGTGGCGCTGTGGCTTAAGTGGTAGAGCATTGGCCTTGGGCTGAAGAGCTGAGGGACAGCGCCCAGGCCCAGAGTTCAGGCCCCACAACTGGACTCCCCCCCAAAAAAAACTGGCTGCAGGCAACAGCAGTCTGGTTTAAAAAGCCCAAGTCCTCCAGATGATTTTCCCTCCTTTCGGTGCTGGTACTGGGGCTTGAACTCAGGGCCTGGAGCATTGTCAGGGACTGGGCACTGTCCTTGAGCCTTTTGTTTGTTCAAGGCTAGTACTCTACCATTTGAGCCATGGTTCCACTTCCAGGTTTTGGTGGTTAACTTCAGATAAGAGTCTCAGCCACAGGCTCACTTGAACTGTGATCTTCAGATCTCCTGAGTAGCCCAGATTACAGGCATGAGGCACCAAAGCCTTGCTACCTTGGTTTCATGCTCAAGTCTGGCATTTTGCCACTTGAGCTACAGCATGGTTTCCAGCTTTTTGGTAGTTAATTGGAGATAAGAGTCTCATGGACTTCCTTGCCCAGAATAGCTTTGAACCGTGATCCTTAAATCTCATTCTCCAGAGTAGCTAGGATTATATTTCTCAGCTGCCCTCCAGGGATTCTAACATATAACAAGGCTAAAGAACTTCTGACAGAGGGGAAGTGATTGCTGAAAGAGAATCACACTTGAGAGGGGACTGGCAGGAATTTCTGGGTCGGTGTGGGAGGGTGGGAAACTCCTGGTATATCTGTGAGGAACAGATGCTGTCAGTGGGAGGCTGCAGCTTCAGTGGGGCTGTAGGAGCACAAACATCACTTTAGACAAAGAAAGCATTGGCCTAATCAAGGTGCTTACTGATCCCTTTCAAGTTATACATGTATAAAACTTTCATGCTCAACGGATAATAAAAAGTCATCAGGCGCTGTAATCCTAGCTACTCAGGAGGCTAAGATCTGAGGATCACAGTTCAAAGCCAGTGTGGACAGGAAAGTCCCCAATTAACCACCAGAAAACTAGAAGTGGAGCTCTGGCTCAAAGTGGTAGAGCACTAGCCTTAAGTGAAAAAGCTCAGGGACAGTGCCCTGGCCCTGAGTTCAAGCCCCATAACTGACCAGAAAAAAAAAAAAAAGCTCATCAATTGACACATTTGTACCTGCTATTCCAAGGTGGACTTTGAGAGTCTCTCCGCCTTTTCTATCTTCTTCCAGAGACTCAGATTCACCAGCAATTGCTATAGACATTGATGTAGAAGGAGGTCTGTAAATAAACATTTTTAAGGAGCAGAAGTTGAATTGTGGCTGAGCATGAAAGTTTGAAATACAGTTAGAGATTGGTGCACGGTCAGTATATGGCTTTACTGCGCTGCCTGGTAAGATTAGCCTTTTGAAGGTGAGAGCAATAAAAACAAACCAACAAATCACGTTAACTATTAAAAAATTCATGGGGAGCTGGGCACTTGTGGCTCATGCATGTAAACCTAGCTACTGGAGTCTGAGACCTGAGGATCACTGCTCTAAACCGGACAGGGTAGGAAAATTTGTGACACTTATCTCCAATTAACCACCAAAGAGCTAGAAGTGGAGCTGTGGCTCAAGTGGTAGAGAGTGATAGCCTTAAGCACAAAAGCCTAGGTTCTGGGATCAAGATTGTTGAGTGCACGTATGCACGTGCACACACACACACACACACACACACACACACACACACACACACACACACACACACACACACACATACACACACACACTTCATGGGGGAAGGAAGGCTTCCTTTCTACAACAAAATAATGAAAATAGCAAAGACACTGCCTCCATGGAGCCCTGAGAGGGCTCACAGAAGGTATGATGGTGTACACCTGTAATCTCCAGAACTTGGGAGGAAGAGGCAGAAGATTGAGTTCAAGGCTAGCCTGAACTACAAAGTAGACCAACAGTTATATTTTCTTTTTTTTTGGGGGGGGGGGTCTGGTCGTGGGGCCTGAACTCTGGGCCTGGGCGCTGTCCCTCAGCTCTTCAGCTCAAGGCTAGCGCTCTACCACTTGAGCCACAGTGCCACTTCCAGCTTTTTTCTTTTTGCTTATGTGGTGCTGAGGAATCGAACCCAGGGCCGCATGCAAGGCAAGCGCTCTACCACTGAGCCACCTTCTCAGCCCAGTTATATTTTCATAATATACAAGAGCTTTTTTTTTTTAAAACTGTATTTAGTATCTCATGGGGAAAATTAATATGTAAAAGAAGCACAAGAAGAATGGTGTCCTTCTGTCATAGTCATTAATCACTGATGGATGAGTCATGCCTACATGACTAAACTCCTCTCTCTCTCTCTTTTATTTTTAAAGTTTGTTTTCTGTTGAGCCACACCCCTAGCACTGTAAACTTTAATTATTTTTCAGATGGTCTCACATTTTTGCTCATGGGCCCATACTTGGACCACAATCCTCCTAGTTAAACCTTCCATGCAGCTGGAATCAGAGATGTGAACCATTATGTCTGGCTTATTTATTGAGATAGGGTCTTGCTAACTCTTTTGTGCAAGTAAAAAGTTAACTCTGGCTCAAATTATGATCCTCTGGATCTGTGCTTCTAGAGTGGCTGGGATTACAGGTATAAGCCACCCTGTGTTTGTTTTCCCCAGCTTTTTTCTTGGGGGTAGGGAACAATAGGATCTCATAATGTAGCACAGACTGATACTGAACTTGAGATCCTTCTGCCTCAGTCTCTTTAGTGCTGGGATTACAAGTGAGCACTACCCCACCTGGCTAGACACTGCTTTTTAAGTCACAGCAAGAGCTATGAAGAACACAACACGGACAGAAAGATGTAAATTTCCTTTTTTTTTTTTTTTTTGGTCGGTTGTGGGGCTTGAACTCTGGGCCTGCGTGCTGTCCCTCAGCTCTTCAGCTCAGGGCTAGTGTTCTACCTCTTGAGCCACAGTGCCACTTCCTGTCTTCTGAGTGGTTTACTGGAGATAAGACTCTCATAGACTTTCCTGCTGGGGCTGGCTTTGAATCACAATCCTCAGATCTCAGCCTCCTGAGTACCTAGGATTGTAGGCATGAGCCATGGGCACCTGGCTTTAATATTTACTTTTCTAAAGACATTCTCCTCAGATGCCTCATTAAGACCTAATGGACCTTC